CTCACTGAACAAGTTGAACATCAAAACCATTTACAGGTATAGCTTTTTGTCTAAAGTTGATTAGTTGCTTATCTTTTATTTTTAAGTAAAGTTGGTTCGGCCCCTGAGCAGAGTTTAGATTTTTCATGTGGCCACCTATAGAAATTAATTGCCCACCCCTGCCCTAGGTGAGTAGGGTATGGATTCAGCACAACTTTAGGTGGCCCCCAGTCATCCTAGCCAGTTTGTGTTGCACTCTAAAAAAACAACCCCCCCCACACACACCCTGCCATGTCTAACAGCCATCCATACTGCCAGTTGTCAAATGCTGCTGTTCTTATGTAGGTTAAATTCTGCAGTAAGTTTGCTTAAGAAATAGGTGTGCCTATTTTCAATGTACTGTAAATAAAGTCTGCCAGCCTCATTCCAGCCAGGTTGTTTTAAAAAATGTGTCAATAAAATGTGTAGTCATTAACGTCTTGAAAACCCTTTGTGTTTCACAGAACAAATACTGTACAGACAATGGCAAGAATTTCCCCCTCTTCACAACTGCCCTTCTTTTCCTTTGATGGCCCCAGGAATGATAGGCATACAATTGCCCCTGTATGTTCTTCAGATGTTTCTTCTGCTGGTTTCCCCTCTTGGCCCTGCTATTCAACACTAACAAGGAGATTAAAAATAAGTGTGACTTCATATTGGAAATTGTATGTGTGTGTATGATGGGGTGTGCATGCTCCCACTTGTTTTTATAAGTCCTCTAAGAAAGACAAAACTTATCTTTTATTTGATCTCTGATTATTTATCAGGAGTACAGAACTGTGGTTATTTCAAGGTATCAAAATATAACCACAACAAAAGCTTGGAAAGTACAGGCAGATTGTGAGGTTTTAGTTTTGCAGTTCAGTCTTAAATAAAGGTAAAGGTTCCCCTTGACAATTTTTGTCCAGTCGTGTTCGACTCTAGGGGGCGGTGCTCATCCCCGTTTCCAAGCCATAGAGCCAGCGTTTTGTCCGAAGACAATCTTCCGTGGTCACATGGCCAGTGCGACTTAGACACGGAACACTGTTACCTTCCCACCGAGGTGGTCCCTATTTATCTGCTTGCATTTGCATGCTTTCGAACTGCTAGGTTGGCAGGAGCTGGGACAAGTGACGGGCGCTCACTCTGTCGCGTGGATTAGATCCTATGACTGCTGGTCTTCTGACCCTGCAGCACAGGCTTCTGCGGTTTAGTCCACAGTGCCACCACGTCCCTTCAGTCTTATATATATAGCCACAAATCATCTTTTGAGCTTTAGTTTGAACATTATTTCTGCCCCTACAGGAGCAGGAATACCCCTCATTCCCCCCCACACACACACCCTTCCTTTCCTTGCTTTTGTAGGCAGTGTACCAGAACATTTTATTGTGCATGCTGTTTTGAAACAACAGATCTGGATCTGTGTGGCAAGCACATGGGTATGTCCCAACTTGGAAGCATTTTAATAGAATCCCCACCCTTATCTTGGCAATTCACAGGGTATCATTTCTCTCTTCAGAACTGCTTTCTTGCAGGAAGACAGACCAAACTAGTCAGCAGAGGAAGCCGTGCTCTATTTCAGCACAAGAGAAAGAGAACAGGATTGTCATTTGGTCCTCTATGTCATCCCCTTTAAAAGCCAGCTTGTTGTAGCAGTTGAAGTATTTGGGGAGCTTCGGGTTCTACTCCAGACATACGTGCCAACTGTGGAGTGCCAGTGAAATGTAGTGCTTAGGAAACTGAACTGGGGACATCCAGATTCTAGTCCCCACTGAGCTATAAGCTTACTGGGTGACTGTAGGCTTGTCATTGCTCTCTGTCTGACCTACTTCCTACCGCACACAATGATAAAGCTCAAGTAGGGGAGAAATTCATGCATGCCCCCTTCAGCTCACAGCAGGAAAAGTGGGATATAAATGTGAGCAACAGTCAAACAACAGGTCAATAAAGGTGAAATCATGACAGAGGTCCATACTCAAGCTTTTTTTAAAAAGTAGCATCCCTATGACAGGCTGTAGAATGCCTTGTGCAAAAGTGAAACTACAGTAAATGAAACTGCACTCCTACCAGTGAAATAGATACAACATTTCAAATCAATGTTGTCTTGTTTGTTCTAAATATTGACCCAAAGTAAACAATTGTATGAACAATTGAACCAAAATCCTATGCTCATTTTGGAGTGTTAATTTCAAAGACAAGCACAGAATTCTTATTCAAATTCACTTAACACAGAAGTGAGGGAACAGGAGAAACACACAATACCATTTCAGCCTTTAGACTGCTGATTGAGAGCACACTTGCGCACAATGTCTGAAATATCCAGAAATATTAACAGCACTTCCAAACTTGTTTATGAAGAGAAATCCAAGCTGCAAGGAACCACAGTTTGCCACCAATATAAGCTCCTGTGCCTTTGTTATTTAGGCGTTTAGGTACCTCAGCCATCAAAGGAGACAGTCACTTACTAGGTGTCCGTATTGGGGAATTAAAGAGGTCAGTCCACACAACAGTAATAATTATTTCTGACAAAGCTAAGAATTTTGGATTACTTTCCCAAAAGATTAGTGATCAGAAGGGGCAGGACATACCCAGAAAGCTAGTGTTGTTCGCACATACTGGACTTCTGCATGATTTACAAAAATGTTATCCTAAAAACTCCCCAATTTAATTCCTTAAAACTCTGGACATGAAGGTGAAGGTGCATGAGTGTGGGCAAAGGTAAAAGTTAATGCTTTTATATAATAAAACTTTCTCTCACATATTTCAATAAATATTTATTTTGCATTTAAAAACAGTAAAAAGATTGAATCAATCATTTGGTGCAATTTTGCTAAATTATAGAATTTTACCAAGTGTGAATGAGAATTTCAATGTTGAAAGTTCTCCCACTAAAAATAAACTCTACAAATTCAGACTTGTTATATGAGGTGTTTGGTAAGAATCTTTAAATTCTCTCTGTCTCTGTCTCTCTCTCACACACACACAGTACATGGCATGCTGTATCAAATTTTTGGGCATGATAGTCCTTTTGGAGTGTTGAAAAGCCTTCACATCTCGCCCTCTTCTGTTTACTATCCTGTTTCCATTTTATTAAAACAATTTGTAATTTAAAATTTAAATAAACACAACGCCTTAGTAAAAATAAGTTTGTGATATGTAATTGGGAAATTAAAAAAGTGATCGAAGCTGATAAAAATACTTGTTACAAAACTGTGCAAGCTTTCCAATGCTCCAGAACACTTCAATAGCTTAGGCTGGCAGAAAACCTGAAAAGAAACAGGGAAGTCCAGCATGGAATAACCTCTTAATCCCTTCTCATTATCAAATGCATGTTGCAGTTTACATGATAGTACTGCTTTGGGAAAATTTAAGTGTTGAATGGAAATATTACCTATGCTGTGGAAGGACATATGCTCTACATGGTACCTGGACCCACTCTGTCCCTGAAGGTGTACAATTTAAAGTATAATAAATGCCTTGGAAAAGAGGAAACTATACAACATGTAGAAGTCTATGCCCCTGGAGGCAAAACAACAACAACAACAACAACAACAACAACAACAACAACAACAACAACAACAACAACAACAACAACAAAGCAAAACACCAATATCCAAGATGGTTGGTGGACTGAAAATGATCCTTCCTTTCATCAAGTCCCGCCCCCCCGCATATACATCACTATTCTAATACAGCTTGCTGTAATCTATAGAAAAGCATTATATATAAAAACAGTATTGAAAGGAGCAGTTTAAAAATCCTATCTTTAAGCTTCAAAGCAAATATATGTATGGAAAAAGTGAAATATCTGACAAATTAATTTATTAAACAGACATTCAAAAAGGGTTATATCCTGCTATTAAATGGGAAGACAGCTGTAACTCATGGTCTCAGTGGGGTAACAAGCAGTTTAAATCACAGAAGGTGTCATAATTAATAGGAAATGCTTCAAAGACTTTACCATATCAGGAAAGAATTAAGAACATTCCTTTCAGGTACACAAATTTGTTTGAATTTTTCCTTCTTCTTAATCATCGGTGTATGTGTGCGCGTGCGTGTGCTATGGGCCAAAAGACAGTTAGCATATGTTTTAAATAATACATGAAAGACAGAGATAAGTATTTTTGAGGACATGATACCACAATGAGTGTATGTGTACTAGGGAGGAGCAAGCCAAATTATTACAAGAAACAAATACTGATGATTGTTCAAATTCAGGAGCTGAAATTTGTTCAGTTGTGACATTTATAGTAAGAATTAACTACAGAATGGATATGAGCAAACCATTTGGACAATTAATTTCCCACCACACTGCTGGGAAAGAATTTTAACGACAAATCTGGATATAAACATGGATCTGAAAAATTAATCTAAACAAAAAAGACTAGGGGAGTTCCTAAGGAATTTAGAAGAAACGAAATCATTCTAAAAATATTAGAATGCATAAAGTTACAGAAATAGAAGGCAGCAGTAATGTGGCAGGTCTCCTAATGTAACAGTTTATGCAGCTTCTTACAAATGTAAGCCATTCTACTTAGTGTTTTGTGTGGCCCTCTTATGAAGGGAGAGACTGTTATTATGTTAGTCCTTGGTGATGAAAGTGAGGAAGTTGGTTCAGTTAAGCAGGCAATTTGTTCATCAGTTAAGTAGCACTCAACGTATTCTAAACTGTGTTACACTCTCTTGAAAAGAACAGGTTTATAATATGTGTAATCACAAAGCTCTCTTTCTTAAGGCCTGAGTGACTTCAGTGGCAGGGTGCCTTTTAGACATTTTGGATGATACACCTATTGCAATCAAACTTAGACAGAGATAACCTGTCTGAGTTACTATATATTGGTACATGGATTATCATAATGTTTTACTTGCAGAGTTACCTTTGAAGACAGTCCACAAACTTCAATCAGGCTGCTTGCTGAAACTGGCCATTTCAAACATTACTTCCGTTGTGTCACCCTACACTGGTTTCTGTTCAGTCGCTGAAAGAATGCCTTATCCAATGCTCCTTTTTAAAAATATATTTTTATTTTGTTGGAAGAATATACTGTTTATACTAAATGTCAAACATTCAGCATCAAGAAACGAAACCACAAATAGGAATAGGAGCAAAGCTTGCTATTAGTTATTTTAAAGTTCTCATGGAGACACTTATAGTTCCAATTGACCAGAATTATCCAAAAGGATTATTCCATATACCAAATACCCATGTATTTGGGGCACTCCTCCAATCTTCTCTCTTTCTCTGTTGGATAAGACAGATTCGATCCAAAGCACTTCACAGCTCTCTTATGCTTATCTTGTGTCTCAGTTTCTCAATCAATGTGAAATATCCCACATCTTTATGGCAGATTGATAAGATTGTCTTCCAAGACTCTTCTCAGGATGTCTACTGACCATAATGGTGTCATGGCCGGATACCAGGGGAAGTTTTCAATGTAGCTGCCTTACTTAACAGAACACCCTCATCAGAACGACCAATCTGGTGTCCTCATTAGACACAAAGCTAACACCTTCATCTACTAGTAGGTATTTAATCTTTAGTTTGCTGACTTCAGTTCTGCTGCTGTTTTTTTTTAATTATTATTTTAATTCTAAAGTCAACTGTATTACTGTGGGGTTTTATAATTATAAACTGTCCCAAGGGCATCTGCTTGTTGGGAAGCATATATATATATGATATTTTAAATAAAATTAAATATCTTGTACTTGTGCTACTGGCCTACACATGGAAATTGCAACAAACTAGAAACTCAAGAATAGCTTACTCAGTCCATTAACAGGTACGCACAAATTAGGTACTGGCAGAAAACTGGCATGAAATATCCAAAGGAATGGCCATGCCATGCCTAAGTTTTGCTACATCTGTAACAGCAGCCAGCAGGGATGTCATTCCTTCTGTAACACCTCCATCTGATGGACTACTATAGGCGGAAACACCAAGTTAATATTGTCGGGGCTGAATACAGCTACCATTTATAATACAAATCATTAGAAAACTGCTCTCTTGGTTTACTTCATTTTTTTTAATTTGTAGTTTGTAGTATGATGACACAGTTTTCAACAGGGTTTTCCAAAAAATCTAAAAGAGAGAAAGGGACTACTAATTTGCTATGCATAAAATATAGTTTTAGCACACAATCATTCTTAACACTACTCAGATAAATACAGCAATGGCCAAACATTGGTAAAGAGTGACAATGGACCCAATACTGAGACATATATGAAGTACTCAAAACTCAGTCTAAGCCTCTAACTTTATTGATTCCAGTACTGAGAGTGCATCTTTATATTCTTCGGCTTCTTCCAATTCTTTTTCATTTTCCTGAAATTAAACAAATTAAAAAAAGGACTTCACTATTTTAATACCATGAGGCTTTACCTTTGCCCCTGAAATTCACTAAACATATAACCATCATACTGTAAACAGTCAACCTTTCTGAAGTGATACTTGGATTTACAACACACCAATTGGTTAAATTAAGGAGGCCTTTTCACTTCAGTGTCAAAACATTTAATTTTCTGAAATCATGTTTATGCAGAACTCTGCTTTGAAATGAAATTGTGTGAATATTTTGTCTGTAATTTCTTGTGCTACAAGGTATAATTTGATGAAAAAACACTGGATGCAAAATAGTTGCAAGGAACAACAGAAAGCTGAGAACTGAAATTCCATTTTTAACTGAACACATTTGTTGATCATTTCCTGTTTCGCAGTGGTTCCACTAATTATTGTTTGGCTTTTGGTCTATGTTACCCCACAGAAGTCTACTTTACCCTCTCTCATGCTGTTTATCATCTACAATAATGGATGCAAAATGTGCCCAATGGGATACATGCAGCCCCTAGCAGTCTAAATGTACCCTGCAACATACCTTAACCACTGAGCTATCCAGCCAGCTCAACATACCTATACAAATCGTTAAATATATATTATATGTATATATTTGAGGATCTGTGTATGTTGAGCTGGCTGGATAGCTCAGTGGTTCAGATATAGTTGGGGTTACCTTCAGATTTGCTAGAGGCTAAATATATATATACAGTATACCGTATATATTTGATGACGTGGTTAACTGTTGAAAGATTATCTTTGCGACTTGGTTATTTCTGCACATGCTAATTTGCGGCATCCAACCCTGATATGATAAACTGTTTCTTTAAGATTCATAAGCCCTACATACTTCACTTATACCTTGCTTCATAATTAATTTTGGACAATATCTTGTTCAAATAACTTGCTCCTAGACTGCACACATGAATCCGTCAGTTTCAGTCTGAAGGTGGCATATCAGGTAACTGGGTACATTCCTGTTCTGTGAAACTTCCATTAATGCAGGTTGGTTCTCATTTATAAGTTGCAATACTGATTGTCCTTTATCACTTTCTACTATCATCTGATGAAGCAGAACTATGCTCCCATGGAAATAATTTCCAAGTTTGACTATTTGAGCCATACAGAGATTAATTAGCAAATAAAGGTGCTCTATACATCTTTGGATAATAGAACTGGTGTTTTGTCAGGAAGACTTGGGTTTTCCTATTTAAACCATCACGATCACTGTACTTCCAGTCAACAATTCCAAAACAATACTACAGTGGGATCTCTGCTTAAGAACTTATTCCGTATTGGAAGGTGGTTCTCAAGTGGAAAAGTTCTTATGTAGAATCTGCATTTCCCATAGGAATGCACTGAAAACCATTTAATCTGTATCTGCTCTTTTCCATCCATAGAAACTAATGGGAAGCTGCTATTCTGCCTTCTACCACTAGAGGGGGATATTTTTTTCTTTTTTTCCCTTAGGTCAGGGAACAGTGTTAAAAGCACTTCTGACGAAGCTAATTTTGAAGCAATGGACTGAAAACCAATTAATCTGTTCTGGCTGTTTTTTTGTTATGTAGAGGTGCGTTCGTACATTGAAGCATTAGTTCCCATAGGAACTAATGCAAAGCTGGTTAATACGTACTCTACCACTAGGGGGAGAACTTTTTTTAACCTAAGATGACCTAAGGTTAAAAAAAGAGCAGGAAAGTTTTTTTTTCCTGTTCTTATCTTGGATTTTTGTTCTCAAGTAGAAGTAAAATTTAGCAAATGGAGCTGTTCTTAAGTGGAATTGTTCTTAAGTAGGGACGTTCTTAAGTAGAGACTCCACTGTATTCTAAAAGAATATGTTACGTAATATTGGAGTTGCCAAGCTATTAATAGCAATTTTTCCTTGTTTTGAATACTGTTTTCGCTCTATAAAAGTATTTGTTCCTGAATACCAATTTAAGTTCCTTATGGTTTATACAGTGGTGCCCCACATGATGACGATAATCCGTTCTGGGAAAATCGCTGTTTAGCGAAATCGTCGTCATGCGAAATCAGTTTCCCCATTGGAATGCACTGAAACCCGTTTAATGCGTTCGATTGGGGAAAATACCTTGCTGTCCAGCGAAGAGCACCCCTGGGGAGCCATTTTGTGAAGTGCCAATCAGCTGTAAAAATGGCTGCCCTGCGAAGCATGGTTCCGGAAAAGACAGGACAGCCATTTTGCAGAGCCAGAAAAATCGTCGTCTTGCGAACAAACAGTTTGCAACACACGGACCTAATCAACGTCAAGCGAAAATCCCCCATTGGAATGACTGTTTTACGAATCGCTATAGCGATCGCAAAAAGTCATCCTAATGCGGATTTGTCGTTCAGTGGGGTCGTCCTCTTGCGAGGTGCCATTTACACATTTTTGTAAATGCCTAGATATCCATTGATTTTCTGGTCCACTAAGCATTAAATAAACTGTTTATTGATAAGCTCATAATTGCTGCCCTCTAAGAATTTTTCTTGTTTGATGTGGATATCAGAACATTTATCAACACCAAAATTATTATTATTCATCAACATAATTTACACATTTTGTTCAGCACACAGAGGGTAACTATAAACCTATGAGTATCTCTAAACTACAGTTTATGCTCATCTACATTTCAAGCTAATTGGAGTCTGATTCTATCATTCTGGATGATGGGAGGACTGCTACAGAAGGGAAGATGTGTACTGTACTATCCCATAATAAGGTGAAGTGACTGCTTAAGTGTTATTTGTTGCTGTTTATCCCATCCATTCTTAGGATGGTATAAACAGTTTTCTTCCCACTCCGAGTTCATCCTCACAACAATATGGTGATATAGGCTGATGAGAAATGTGATTAATTCAAAGCTTCAAAGCCAAAATGTTTAATCAACTGTGCAGGAGAGGCAATTTTTAATGCATGATTGAAAATTAAAGACATGCTTTGGCCAGAAACCATTTGTTTGGATATATTACTATCAGATAAAGTTTTTTTAAGATTGCCTTTCCTTCTAAGGATGAGTGGCAGTTTAATTTTTTAAAAAACTTACAGCTTCCTCCAGAACTGTAGAGATATCAACACTGAGATTTGGGTAATAAAGAGTTGCATATAGGATTAATTAAAGTTGCAGCTTGATAAAACAAATAAAATTAATTTGACAACCCCACATAAATTATTTTTTCCCATACTGTACTTACTAATAGCTGAGCAAGATCTGCACGTGCAGCTTCTAATCTGCGTTGGCAATCTGGAATCATCATTCGTGATTCTTGCAAGACTTCAGTCTGCAAAATGGAAGGTCATGAAGTACATAAACCACTCATGTTAAAACAGAACTTTACGATTTTGTACTAGCTGCTTAAAATTACTAACACAGAGTGAAATGTAGACTTAGCAATACACAGAATATAATATTGCATTAGAGAAGCAGAACCAGAGAATTCTTTTTTATAAGGAAAACAAGAAGTGTTAAAAAGCATTCCATGAAATATTTGCTTTAAAAAAAACTATTTAATATAAACTACTTCCCCTGCTGTCACAGCTTCGTCCAAAATGGGATCAGCTGGTTATATAAATATCACCTGCTTCTTTTGGGTAATAAATAAAAACAGTGTTCTGATAATACCACACAGAGATAATTACAGCATGAAAAAAGTTATTGAGTTATTGATCACATTGTATGCTCACTGCAGGAGGTTCTGACTAAGAGAAAAAGGTAAAGAAAAATGAAAAGCAAAGACCAGCAGGGTCGTATTTTTGATGCTTATCATGCATAAAAAGTTATTACTCATTCTTGGACTTCATTTTAGGAAAGAGATTATTCTCACCATGCTTTTTGAGCAAAATTACCAATGTGGCACCCCACTGAATTTGAACATCTTGCATGCATTTCTAAAAGACAATTTTGTAATTGCACATGAAGTGACCATATTTATTTCATGGGATATTTTAAGTTTCAAATTCATGCACTAAAAAGATGGTGCAAACACTTACTTCTATCATGCATTCATACCTCTTGGTTAGAAGTGAACATCAATTAGCAAATCTACTAAGCATCAAGATTCTTACAGAAATTATAGTTTTTATGTACTATTAATACAATGCAATAGGCATTATTATAAGTATGCACAGATATGACAAGAATGTGGTCCACCTGTGGTTGGGATGTAGGCAAGTTAAACTTCTGGTGAAGATCAGAAAGACTAGCTCGTTTTGTCTGTTTAGTCATGTCCGACTCTTCGTGACCCCATGGACCAGAGCATGCCAGGCCCTCCTATCTTCCACTGCCTCCTGGAGTTGTGTCAAATTCATGTTGGTTGCTTCGCAGACACTGTCCAGCCATCTCATCCTCTGTCATCCCCTTCTCCTCTTGCCGTCACACTTTCCTAACATCAAGTTTTTTTCCAAGGAGTCTTCTCATGAGATGGCCAAAGTACTGGAGCCTCAGCTTCAGGATCTGTCCTTCCAGTGAGCACTCAGGGTTGATTTCCTTTAGAATTGATAGGTTTGTTCTCCTTGCAGTCCAGGGGATTCTCAAGAGCCTCCTCCAGCACCACAATTCAAAGGCATCAACTAGCTGCTTACCTGTAACTGTAGTTCTTGAATCAATCATTTGTGATTCACAGAACTGGGTTTGTTCTGCGATTGCATGAAGACCCTCTGAAACATTCTAGAGCCTAAAAGTCCACACTCATTCCACTGTGCATGCTCCCCACCCTGTAGCTAACCTTCAGTTCCTCCAGTCTGCTGCCGATAGAAACATGGACTTGCATAGCAGACTGAGGGGAGGATGGGCTAAGAACTACAGCTACAGGTATGCAACATTTGAATCACATATTTGGGTGATTGATAAACTTGCTTATCAGATGATGGGATGTCATGACAACACAGAAAAATTACTGCTCTGCTAAATGTAGCATCTAGTTTTGCTCTGATGTCCAGTCTGTAACACTTGACGGATGTCAAGGGCTGTGACCATGTTGCTGTTTTACATATATCTCTCAATGGAATTACTTTAAGAAATGCTGTTAAAGCAGCAACTACCAAGTTGAGTGCACTTTTAAAATTGTGGGCAACTGTTTCTTTGCCCTTTGGTAGGCTAGGGTTACAGTATTCACTATCCATTTGGACACATGTTGGGACGTGACCTGTTCAACCTTTCCAAATCCTTGGTAGCTCAAAAATAGTCTAGAAGAATTTCAGAACTGTTTAGCTCCAGAAATGTTAAAGGCCAAACACTGTGAACATCTAGGATATTTTGCTAATACAGAAATTGGAGATAGAAAGAATGTAGGGAGTATCAGAGGTTGGTTGTGGTGACATTCTGAAATCACCTTAGGTATGAAAGACAACTCAGGAACATTGTCACTTTGTCCATAAAGAATTGCAGAAAAAGTGGACTGCACTGAAGAGCACATTGCTCACTAGCTCTCACTACTGACATGACCACAACTATGAACATGGTCTTTGTAAATTAATAGGTTGGAAGTTGCCATAGGCTCAAATGGTGGCTTTGTAAGCTGATTAAACACTATAGTAAGAGACCACTGTGGTAATGATCTAGCATCTGGGTACATGTTTCTCAGACCCTTTGAAATATCTTTTGAGAGTCATACTGTATATCTGAAAAAATGTGATACATCAGAACCATGACCTTGATGTGCTACTATGGCTGATAAGTATACTTCTAATTAGAAGTGGGACATGTCACTTTCTTTCAGGCGTAATAAAGAATGCAAGACATTATACAGCGTGGGAAGAAAGTAAGGCTTGTCTCTTGAGTTAGAGAAGAATATGAATTTTGTCCATTTATATTTGTAGTTCAGCATAGTGGATGGACAGCTTTCTGAGCTCTAACTAGGATTATCTGTAAGATTCAGTGTCGTAAATTCTCCATACTATTAACCTAAGTGAGGCTAGATCTGGGTGACAGGTTCTTACATTGCTTTATCAAATCCAGTCTTATTGGCAGTTGATAAATGTCCACTGCCATCTATCTCAAAGTTGTGAACCAAGCCTGATGTGGCCAACATGGGGCAACTAGTATCACCTTGGCCTTGTCTTGGCGAAGCCTTGCTACTAATCTATGGAGCAGTGGGATCAGAGGAAAGTGGTAGATTAGCTTTTTTGAACAATGTGGCATGAAGATGTCTATGAGTGAATTCTTTCCCCAGCCTGCCCATGAGCAACACTTTTGCATTTTCTGTTGGATCTGTTTACAATCGGGTCCATTTTTTGTTTGTCCCAGCAGGTGCAAATGTCTGGGAACAGTTCCCATTTGTGATCCTGTGTTCTTTGTCCACTCAAATAACTGACTATATTGTCCTTTCCTGCCACATGTATTGACACTGGGAAACACATCAGTCAATGCACCATTAGCACAGTTGGACTGCCAGGAACAGGAGAGACATGGAGTGCATTCCACCCTGCTTGTTTATGTAGTACAGAGTGGTCCTGTTGTTTGTGACCCCTTGTGCTGGTTTGCTGAGATAATCATTTCGAATGTTTGGAAGGCCTTCCTTATGATCAGCACCTCAAGTTTGTTTATATGTTATATTTTATTCCACAGAAAGTCGTGAATCTTTATGTAGTGTCCCTGCCAATGAAGGAGCAGCTGAAGTGATAAGTTCAGGTTTGTCTTTCCCCCCAGTATCATCTACTTTACCCTTTTCTTTTGTTTGAGACCATTGTGGCTTGGAACTGAGGGTGTGTTCCATAGTGGATGGATTTTTTTAGCTTTAGCCAATCTCAACGTTGAAGGCTGCTGGTGGTGCCTTTGGTTCTGACAGGTTTCAGGTACTAGTGCCCCTGTAGCTGAATTCTCCCTTGGCTTACGGCTCGTAACTGGTGTCAGTGATGGAGACCGAGAAGCTGAGGAGATGGAGGCTGATCTTTGGTCCCAAGAAACTGAAACTTCAAAACTGATGGCTCTCTTTTGACGTGGAAGACCTGCTCCAATGTGTAGATATGAGAATTGGGGATCTTGAAATCAACCGAGATGGTAAACGTATACTGTATCATGTTGTAAGTAGCAAGATTCCTTCAGTTTGGGTGATCTCATAGCTGAAAACTGATGGTTGCACTTCAGTTCCAGTGACTAAGTCATAAACCAATGTTTATACTTCAGTTTAGGCGACCAAGGAACAAACCGAGAGGATGGGTGATCAGCATGATGAGATGGGCAACGAGATCTCTTAGATTCCGGAGACCTGGGAGCCAAAGCTTTATGAAGTTGCTTCATTTTAGGTAGCATGTCCTTTGGTTAGAGAGATTCCAAGTTTCTGTGCCCATGAGGCCAATGTTAGAAGGACCTCACAATGGCAAGTAGGGAGGCAAGAAACAGTGTGGACCCACTTGCATATCTTCATGTACCCCAATAGTCATAGAAGGATGCTGATGGGAAATGCCATTACAGCTCACAATAAAACTGTGGCATAACATCAAAATAGTATGGTGCAAGATGCCTAGTCTCCTTAGTCAGACCACTGAGGATGGCACAGGAATTGGAAGAAGTAGGGCAAGATGCCACATGACACAGGGGCAACTTTTCCATTTGTGTTTCTTTCGGGCTTTCCTGAAATGGTGAAATCTTACTCAGGGTGCTCTCGGTGAGCTCACTTCACTCTAGTGAGTGGCTAAAAGTGAGTGAAGCTGCATGGATTTTTAAGATATGACTTCATCTGCAGCAGATCTGAGGCATACCAAGTGCTTATGACCTTTACTTTTTTTCCAGAGCAGAATGGTGACTAGGTGGAGACTGAAAAGTCTGTGTTTTAAAAACAGGTTTCTGCTGGCTCTTAAATTTCATAGGTTTTACTTGGTTTCCATCTGCTTTGTCTGACAGTCTGAAATGGTTGATTTCTTTCTTTTTCCTTCAACTGAGGACAACACCAATTTAGGCACTGACACTGACATCAAATATCTGTCCTCGATGTTGGGGCTGAGTTTGCTCTGTAGAGCCTGTGACTTGCAATGGAATATTGGAAGGCTCAGCAGATGGAGACTCCAAATGAATTACCGCCATAAGTACCTGCTTAGATGGAGCTTTATAGATCAGGATTGGCAGAACTGAAGTGGCCTGGCTGGTGATGGTGCTAACCGCTTTTAGAGATTTTTTCCTAAAGATAAAATTTCAACCAAGACTGTCTATCCTTTTGTAAATTTTCTGCAGATTTGGCAACTATGACTCTGGTGCCCATCACTCAGGCAATAAAGGCATGTAAGAGTGCCTGTTGGTGAGGGGAATCTTATTGGAAGAAGTGATACACTTCTTGAATTGACCTGCTGAGGCCATAAAAAGGCAGGAAGGAAATGAAACAATGACTGACAACTTTTTTAAAAAATTAGGTAAGCAAAGACTCAGGAAGGAGACAAGAGAAGAGAGGACCAATGAAGAGAGGTAAGAACTATAGGTAAAACTATATACAAATGTGAAGGAAACGTGAAGGCTCTAAGAATGCTCCCAAGCTGCTACATCAGTGGTGGCTGAAAAGGAAGTGAGGATTAGCTACATGGTGGGGGGCATGCGAAGTGGAGAGTGTGGACTAACAAACTCTTTTAGACTCAAGAATATTCCAAAGGTCTTTGTGCAGGTAGAGAACAAACCCAAATGTGTGATTCACAGAGATTACAAAGAAGAACACCTTGGGACACTAAGTCCACTGCATCCTCTCTAAGGTTCTATAAAAGCCTTGGGTGTGGCGCAAGAGCTACAATGGGAGAAGGAACTTAGGCAAACACAGCTTGTACAACCCTTTGCTTTAATAAGCTCATTCCACCAGATTCTTGCAGTCCCATTTACATGTCACATCCCAGGCTTTTCTTAAGGGTTTTCTGACCTTTTCAGAAGCAGGAGGAGCTTCAAAGAGGACAAAGGTAGAATTCCCGTTGTAAAAGTGTCCTTGCATTAGTGCACCACTAGATGCAATTTAATGTAGTCCACATCTTATGAAAAAGCCCAGGGAAACCCATTTTTAAACAACACAAATGGCTTCAGAATTAACATCCTTCCAAGACCACCGAAGTAAAAAAAATCTCAAGCTACACATATTTTTCTGAAAGAAGTGGCATAGACTTCATCCAAAAATACGCCCAATGAATTTACAATGACTTTAAAAGGATAAACTTGCTTCAATATTCTATTTTAATATGTTCTATAAGAATACTGTGCAGGTATGCAATGAAAATTGCATCTAATGTAACAAATAGAAGTAAAGAGGAAGTAGCTTTTGACTTTAAAATACGATGGTACCTTGAGTCTTTTAAAAATGCTTTTTACTGGAAGTAATTTTTTTTAAAAAGATATAAATAGTTGGTAAGGCCATCAGGAAGGGCCTCTAGAAATTAATTATGAAAGTGTTCGGCCAATATGTGGCAGCCCTGAAGAAGAAAGATCTTAAGGCCTGCCTGAACACCAAAGCTGAAGGGGCAAAATGAAGGTTGATTGGCAGGTTGTTCCAAAGAACGGAGGACACTGCTGAAAAGGCTCTGCCTCTTGTGTATGTCGACCTTACTAGTTTTAAAGGCAAGCAATCCCTCCACCCCGGCAGATCTGAAAATATGGATAGGATTTTAAGGGTGGAGGTCACTGGTTCTTCAGACAACCTGGTCAAAATATATAATCATATGCACAATAATATGCATGTTATTATGCATCATAAATATGCAGATTGAGCTTACAAATAACAGCTCTTAATATTTCAAGCAGAATTTGAGTTATTGATTTGGGAAGCATGACTAAGTTGCATCTTGCTCATTATAACTAGATATGAGGAAAAAACTTTACAGTCAGGGAGTATCAAAATTAGATACAACTGCACTAATGCCATAAAGGTATTGGGCACTCTACATTAGGCAGATCAACCCCCCCCCCCATCAACAGCCTTTGGGTAGAATTTCCAAATCAAGGCAGACTCACAACAATGGTTTGTAAGAAAAAAAGTGTGCAAGTGCATGCTTGCTCACCATTTCCACAGTTTAACTGTTTTTTAAATTTTCATAATAATCTAGCAAGGACTGACTTTCATTTCCCCCTTGAAGAGCTAGAGAAAAAAAATCCATGGTTGCTCTCTGTGGTTATTAGTCAATATGCTGGGGGGTGGTATCAGCTAGAAACCCAGCTCCTGCCAGGGTTCATGTCTCACAATAAGCAAACCACTGAACAAACTCAACAGTTTGGCTTGCCATGTCATTATAACCAGCCCAATGTATGGACATACCGTTGTATGTATTTAAAGTTATTCCTGTATACTGCACAGCTTTCTTTACAGGATATTAGATTACCATATTTTTCACTCTATAAGACACACTTTTCCACCCCCCCAAAAAGGGGGGGAAGTGTCTGCGACTTATGGAGCAAATACTGTAAAACAGCGCTCCCCAGGGCCCGGGGGGATGGTGGGAGGAGCCTCGGAAGGGTCTGAGAGAGCCTTCCAGGACCCTTTGGAGGCTCCACCCACCCACCCACCCCCACGGGGCCAGCCGGGGTGAAACCGCGACCTTCCAGGACCCTTTGGAGGCTCCCCCCACACCCCACAGGGCCAGTGGGGGCGAAATCGTGACTTTCCAGGACCCTTCTGAGGCTTGGAAAGGGTCCTGGAATCTGGCAATTTTGCCCCTGCCAGCCCCGTGGGGGGGGGAGCCTCCGAAGGGTCCTGGAAGGCACTCTTGAACCCTTCTGAGGCTCCCCCACCCCCGCGGGCCCAGCGGGCTGAAATTGCCAGAATATTTTTTCCTGTTTTCCTCCCCTAAAAATGAAGTGCATCTTATGGAGCAAAAAATTACTGAAATCCAATAATTTTGGAAGGGGACTCTTGTGTTTAATGTTTAGATTAAGGGGAAATGGTACAATCAGAGGGACGTCTTTACCTGCTTTTTAATTGAATAGTCATCTGGATCTTCAGTTTTCATTTTCTCAATCTTTTCTTCTTGTTGTTTTGCTTCTTTTTCATACATAATCTTTTCTTTTGCCAAGCTGTACATAAAAAGTTAGAATTGTGACCATTAGAATACACAAGTTTTCCTAACTGAAAGTTACGCATATGCTAATAAAATAGAGAAATTTATAAATATTGCTGCCATTACACTGTGTACCTTTTACATGCATGCTGCTTACACCACTCAATGTTTAAAATGTTTCACTGTTCACTATATTTCACTTTTCATTACACACCTTAAAACTATATATAACTGGATCCAAAACTCTGGTTAGACTCAAAGATAGCCTTTGTCTGTGGAAATGTGGATTTTTTTCACCCTTGAGAAAACTTACCCCCTTCCTCATACGATTATCACAAACGATATTTGAATAATTCCTCACTTTTAGAAAAAGTTTACCAATCAACATGGGAGTCTATCTGAAAAAGGAAACAGGAACTTGAAAAAAGAAACTCAAGGAACCCGAATCCTAGCTATCATTTTCCCAAGTAATATTTCTCACTCCCACTGAAGTCCAAAATGGAGAGAATTGGAATGCCTAGACTGGACTCAAGTATCTAACTCACTGACAATTATCAAGTTGTACAATTTAGAGAAAAGACCACAGCTGGTGCACAGCATTCTTTGGTTGCACAGTCTTGGTGCTTCAAAATCACTGCTAAATCTGGTTGCCCAGATGACATTCATTCTTCCAACTGTTTTTATGGGCTACATAAAAATACTTTGTCCAGCAAATTTTGTGTGGACACCTAACAGCTTGATTGTTAAAACCATTATTTAAAAAACCTCCACCCAGAAAAAAAGAGCCATAAACACCTTATTGTCAAAACTAAAAGCTCAATTGTCACAAACTCAAGAGTTACCTAGATTAGCATATTTTAAACTTTTCTCAGTATTTTAACCCTTATTTTAAACCCCAAGATGAAACACTAAGAATGGGGACAAGAATGCTGCCTCAATTTTAATTATTAAATTAAAATCCAGAGATAAAATTATGATCTGAACCATGGCACCAGAATTTTTTTAACTCTGCACTATCCAAAGAAATCTTACTGCATTTCCCCCAGAAAATCCTGAAAGTTCTCTTTTAATCTCTTCAATATTCACATTCTACTCTTGCAGAGCCATGCTCACTCCAATGCACTAGATCTAGATTTGGGGACTATATGGGCAGGTATAGCTCTTCTACTGTTTCCTCAACTGGTCAATTAAGTACAACAACTAATTAAGCGGAAAAGCAGAATTTTTTGCTCTCTCCTAAAGACATGCCAGTTTTTCCCTATCTTTTATGAAATTTTTGCTGATCTTGAACTATTTTGATCCTACCTCCCTGCTTTCTTTTGAAGACCTATATTCTTGAAGACTAAGAGAGAGTATTTTAGATAGCCTTCCTTCTGGCCTATTACAAGCAATGTGTCACCATTTTGAAAACTTTGTGAAAAGCATTTCTCGTCTTGGTACCATAAGAAGAAATGTGCTCATTAAATACAAACATGCCTACTAAAATTGATCTGCTTCCTTTCACTCATATTTATTAATCCTTACCCCCTTGGTTTCAAGTTTTCTCCTCCTGCACTTCAATTGAAAGCGTGAACACTTGGTTCCACTCCACCACTGCCAACCAATTCTTTCATCTGCAATATCACCACTTCCAAACTGCCAAGCAAACCAAAATGTTGCCTTATCCTCTTTAATCCTCCCTTCTCTTTCCCATAAGTGGGCAAAAATATGTATTTTCCTGTTAAGCAAGTTATTCAGCATACATACGTTCTTGCCTACATGTTGTTTATTTGCATTTGTAGAACCACTAATATCCATCGTGATCTTATGTTCCTGTTAACACTAAAAATTGATGTTCTTGTTTAAATGGTTTCAAAATAAACTGCTTGACCAGTAAAAAGCCACTTGAATAAAATAAACCATTAAACTGTTTTTATGCTGAAAAGATGGTCGTCCTTCTTTCAAATATTGTGTGTCTGACTTCTTAAGCTCCCTAATATCAACATGCCTATTTTCAAATGGTACAAAAAAGCTTACTGCTGAAACATTAATTCCATATATTTAGAGTGCACATATATAGCGGCACACATGACAGTTGGTATCTTGTGCACAAAGCCATGAACAGCTGTACCATCATTTAATGGTATCTGCATGAAAATATTTGTGTAAAAATATATTAAGAGAACACTACTTCTACTTTAAAACCTTATTTATCAAGCAGTATTTTTCTGCCTTGGTTCTGGAGTTGTATGGATTGTTTTATCTCCCTCTCTCTCTTTCTTTCTTTTCTAAAAAGGAACCAAGATACAATATTAAACAATATTTTAAAAGAAATAATATTGAATAATATTTAATATTAAACAATACTCTATAGAAATATTTTTAGGAGAAAGGCGGCTTATAAATATTTTAAACAAATAAATGATTTTAAGTTGAAAAAGTGTATTGTTTTCTTTTATGGAAGCACATATGTGCATGCCGACTATTGAAAGGCTATTTATCAACATCTAAGCAAATAAAATTGTTTTATTAGTTTACATTTATTTGTCTTAATATGACTGAAAAACAGCTTAAGATAGTACAGTATATGTGGATCCCCCTCTAACATTTACCCCACTTTACCCTTACAATAATCTTGCAGGCCAGGCTGAGAGAACATGGCTGCACTATTACCCCTGGATTGCATGACTTAGTAGGTATTAGAACCTGGATCTCCCAAATCTTAAACTTCCATTCTGATCATTCTCTCTTGCATAATGTTTGAGAGAGGGAGGGAGGAAGGAAGGAAATCTTGAGTGATCCCTACAATGTTTGAATAACACTATTAGAATTTTTACTTGAAGACAACTTATCTAGTTTCCCAATTATGGCCCTTAGCTTTACTGGAGAAGTTACATCAGACTAAACACTTCCACAAACCTCCTCAATTTTGTATGAAAGGTACGTTGAGGATCAATATTCTAATGCTGACTTCCTATCAAGTACAAGACATAATAACTGAGCCACCAGATTCATTGATCCTGTGGTCAACAATCCAGTAATATAAAATGAGCAGATCTGAAAAGTAATTTAATAGGCAGTTGTCTGTAAGCATTCATGCCTAGCAGTACATCATTCTCACATATAAAAACATATCCTCACTTGAAAAATGACAGGAATTCCTACTAAGAGTGATTTCCACATCAAATCTTGGATGGTTTTAGCTCCAAATAAACACCTTCTTGGATTCTTCTTATTTGTAAATTGTTGAACAAACAGCTAAAACAATGAACAGAATAGCAGCGTCAAATCCAGAAAGTTTGAGAATGAACTTGGAAACCTACTTACTACATGATTGTCACAATCACTGAACTGGCTTAATTCAAATTTGCTTTGATTCAATTTTGTCAAAATTTTTTTTAAAAACTGCAAACACACAGTGTGATTGTACCAAAGTTAAAGAGCAAATTTCAACAGGAGACATATGTCCAAACATTTCCATAATTTCAATTAGTAGGACAAAAGTGTTTTTATTTGAGTTGATCATCATACGCAGTAGGCCTTTCAATGGAAGCATTCAGACCACTCCACCTAGGACTACACTGTTTGCTAAGTGTTTCAAATATGACGTCATTTCTGACATAGAGAATACTTACATTATATTTTAAAAATTGGCTAGGAGACACAAAATATTCTATGAAGTTTCAACATGATTCTGATATAGTTTTGCATATTTATTTTGTTACCTTACACCAATCCAGCTAGTAATGGCCCAAGTGAATGTTCACAATGAAACACACCTGTATATTTTTAAGTACTCAGATTTCATATTCTTAAACCTGCTACCTAAAACATCATGCTAATATAAAAGCATAAGAAAGCTTTTAAATTAGTTTAAAATTCACAGATATGGTCTTGTATATGCTAAAATAAGAAAGTGTTTACTAAACCATTATCAGCTTTCATGCAAAGGTTTTACTCTCAAGCAGTTACAGCTGTAGCCAGAAAACAAAGCCAGCATTTTTTTGATGTACTAAAGCCACATATCTCAGCAATGAAGGCAACTAATCTGAACAGGCAGTAAACCCCAACACAAGGTTTTCCACCCATGTAAAGCAGGATATATTCCACAATCCGCATCACATACAGAATGTTTCATTCTGGCCTTCACATACAAAGAGAGCTTAATTTTCCTCTCAAACCAAGGTTATCAGTCTTGTAGGAATCATCAGTACTTTCCTTCGAAAGACACCACACTACTGCAAGTTTCACTGAATTGGAAGAGCACTGTGGATCAGGCTTTAATATGCTTAACTATCAGCAACAAAACCAAAGCACCTTGGTTCATATTATCTTTATTATGATGTAGACTCATCCCCATCCAACACTATCTTTCTTTAAATCAAAATTTCCCTCGTGCATGTCACTTCATGTCCTAAGAACTTTAAGGTGCAATATGTTTACAAAATCAAAACACAGAAACATTTTTAAAAGTCAAATAATGCAGCTAAACAGTCACTCCTGAAATTTCAACTGATTCTGTGCTTTAACTAGAATCCAGTAATTGTAAGATACTGCAAAAATTTAAGTTTTAAATGTAGCAATTCTATTTCCCACTCTCATCTCAGCATATATTTCCACACAGCACAATGTCTCTAGGATGCTTTCAGGAGACAAACGTTTCATGTTATAGTGTAAAGGCATCACATTCATCAATGCACTGGACTGACCTTGAAAATCACTACAGCTTTGGTTCGACACTTTTCAACAAAGTCACTACCGCCTCCCCTTAAACTCAAAAGGTAAGTGACCAACCTTCATTCTTTCCAATGTACCACTTGGATAGACCTGGATATTGAGATGTATTTTAGAGAGATGAAAACTGAAATAAGACTTCATGTAGTTCGAAACAAGGTTACTGTTAGCCTTTTAAACTTGAAGTATTTCACAATACCCTGACACTGTGTATACACTTCTTGAATTCTCTGTGGAAATTCACATTATATGTTGCAGCAACACTGCAAGCCAAGAATTTTTTCATTCCCATTTACTGTGCAT